CCTCCTCAACTTCAACTGGCTCTAATTTCAATTCAGCTTTTCAGCACGACTTCCTTCGTCTGCGCCTTGCTCTGAACCCTCCCAACGCAACCGACGATGCCGCGTCGCCGCGCTCGACCCTCTAATTCTTTCTTCTAGCCTGCCTACCATGCGGATCGCCATTCGTGAGCAGCTTGCAGCCCTCGTTCTTCTTGCCGTTCTCGTCTCCCTCGCCATTGTCTCTATTCCAACATGGATCTATGTCAATCGCTTTGTAGTCGACATCGAGCGCGAGGGTCTGCAGCTCACGGCTTCCCTCAAGGCATCCCGGATCTCTGCAGAGCTCGGCCTCATTGAGACCATTGCCATGACCATTTCTTCTCGAATCCTCGTTCAATCAGCATTCACAAATTTCTATAATACTGGTGACCGAAACTGGGAAGATGCCCGCGAAGATCTAGAGAGCGCACTTGCTGTCAGCACCAGTTCTGGTCTGTTGCAAGTAAGACTATATTCGAGGAATGAGACGGGCGCTTCTAATGGCGGTTTACTCAACGTGACCTCCCTTTCTGCACCAGAGATCATTCTGCCCTATGGCAGTTCAACTGGCTCCGAGATTCGACTCGGCGATACTGATGAGGGCTATCCACCGGCTCTCTTCCCTAATCTTACATATATCAATCTTGAGCGGCCAAGTTCTCAACGCAATAATACAACAGCTTTTGCAGCCGAGGCATTCCCAGATGTTAGGATTGCCCGCGATGGTGGCTTATTACTGGGGCCACTGGTTCTCAATGAGAGTGCTTCTCTCCTTTCCGTAACAATTCCTGTTCGGGACAACAACGATACCTTCATCCTTGGCTACATGACTGTGGTTACGCTTGCCGAGTCACTCACCGCGGTTCAGGAATCTCGTGAAGGATTGGGAAAGACGGGTACCGTCTTACTCATTGGCCCTACTGATCGGTCAAATCGTTTTAACAAAACTCAGCCCGCCAGCAATGCGACATACACTCCCAACCGTGATGAATTTGGTAATGTGATGGTCAAATTTGTCCTTCCTCCTAAGAATCCGGAAGGACAGAAGGATCGTCATGATGTTCATCAGTTTGTCAGCGAGACTGGTAACAGAGCATTTCCTGTCAAGTATTACCCAGCAGCGTTCGATTCGTTCACAAAACATTATAATACTGTCAATAACGCCAGCGCTCTCCTCAACACACACAACGAACAAAACGTCCGTGTCGCAGTTGGATTTGCTCGAACACAAACTCCTCTGGCAAACTGGACTGTCATCGTCGAGAAAGCCAGATCAGAAGCCTATAAGCCGATCAACACTTTGCGGAACATCCTGCTTGGAACCGTGTTCGGTACTGTCGGCTTGATAGCCTTGCTGGTCATTCCATGTGCTCACCTTAGTGTGTTGCCTATTCGAAAACTCAAAGCGGCCACAGAAAAGTCAGTCAATCCCCCAGGATACGAAGACTCATTCATCGATTCGGATTCCGAGTTCGGAGAGGAGATTCCCAGTTCTGGAGGGATATCACGACGATCGAGAAAACGAGGACCAATAGCGAAATTTATTCGAAAAATGCAGGGAAAGTCGAATGGGCCGAGTTCAAATCGAGATGTTGCTCGCCGAATGTTCAAAATCCCTGCAAAAGTCGATGACCGGAAGCACTTCGTTACGGATGAGCTGACTGAGCTGACGCGAACCTTCAACGATATGAGTGACGAATTAGTAAAACAATATCTTTCCCTTGAGGTCAAGGTGGCAGAGCGAACAAGGGAGCTGGAGGAGAGCAAGAAGGCAGCGGAGGCGGCTAATGAGAGCAAGACGCTTTTCATTGCCAACATTTCCCACGAACTGAAGACGCCCCTGAACGGCATTCTTGGCATGTGTGCCGTATGCATGGAAGAGAACGACATCGTTAGGATTAAGCAATCCTTGAAGACACTCTACAAATCGGGCGACTTGCTGCTTCATCTCTTGGAGGACTTGTTGAGTTTCTCCAAGAACCAGATTGGCCAGCAGCTCAACCTTGAACTGAGGGAATTCCGACTGGCCGATATCCGATCACAAATTTTGACCATTTTCGACAAGCAGGTTCGAGAAGGAAAGATCAATTTCTCGGTAGAGTTCATCAGCTCAGACAATATCGACATCAGCGCAAGTCCAGACAGAACGAATGGGGAGACAAGATTACCAGCACTTGGACCCTATGGAACTGGAAGATTAAAAGACATGTGTCTATGGGGCGATCAACACCGAATACTTCAGGTCATCATAAACTTGGTGAGCAACAGTTTGAAGTTCACGCCTCACAATGGCAGCGTCTCAGTCCGCATTAAGTGTCTCGGAGAAGCAGATGCCATTGCTGAGAATGAAAGCCGTGCATCATCAATATCGAAGAACTCGCGGAACAACTCACGGACTGGGCGTCCTCGACAACGTGGAAGCGCCAGCTCAGCAAACTCGGGAGGCTCAGGAAACCGAAACTCGATCCCGAAGTTCATGGGTACAGGAACTGCCCTGTCCATCAACCCCATGGACCCAAAGGCAACTCCTCATGTCCTGGTCCGGGAGCGATCCCCTACGCCTCCTCCACCAGGCGCCAAGTCGTATGTGTTCGAGTTTGAGGTACAGGATACTGGCCCAGGCATACCTGAGCATATGCAGCAAAAGGTTTTTGAGCCTTTTGTCCAAGGAGATCTGGGTCTGAGCAAGAAATTTGGTGGCACTGGATTGGGATTGAGTATCTGTCACCAGCTAGCAGGCCTCATGGGTGGTTCTATCAGCCTGCGTAGCACTCTGGGTGTCGGCACAACCTTCACTATGCAGATCCCACTAAAATACGTGAAGGACCGGTAAGTGTTCACCAGCGAAATTGCTACAAAGTTACTAATAGTTAGATCCAGAACTTCCAGCACTGCATCGAGCAGTGTGAAATCCCGCCCAACGAGCGTAGATGCTAGCGACATAGAGCCACAGCGCGTTGCTCCTGGTACCCCGAAACCTGCAGCTGAAACCAAGTCAGCCGGTGCCCTCAACCCACAACCTCGATTGGTCGGATTAAGTCAACCATACTTTGCTGCTGACCCTCCATCTATCAAGAGTGCAGAACAAAAGATGGCTGAAATTGATCGTGCCATTGCCAGTAAGGGTGGTCAAGGCAGGTTACGCGTTCTGGTTGCCGATGATAACTCAACCAACATCGAAGTTGTCAGCCGCATGCTGAAACTTGAGGATGTTTACGATGTGACTATTGCGAAGGACGGCCAAGAGGCCTACGATTTGGTGAAAGCAACAATGGAGAAGAACCAGGCCTTTGATGTGATTTTCATGGACGTCCAAATGCCCAACCTTGATGGGCTGCAAAGTACTCGACTTATCCGTGAGATGGGCTACACATCCCCCATCGTTGCTTTGACAGCCTTTTCAGAAGAGAGTAATGTGAAAGAATGCATTGACTCGGGCATGGACGAGTTTCTCGCCAAACCTATCAGACGGCCGGCCCTTAAACAAGTGCTGAAGAAGTTTGCAACAATCCCAGAGGAGCCGGAAGACGAGAAGCGCTCTTCTTCGCTGAAACCGAAAGCTAGAACGAATGGTAATGCCATTCAGCCACACAAGGAGGGCGAGAACGGCGCACCACGAGAGAAGCATGGATGAATGCTTTATCCCTGGTTTGCTGTGCACCTACAGAAGCCACAGCTAGGAATACGAGCGAAGAGTGACTCGTCACGAAGACAGGCATATTTATACTAAATGGACAAAGATCCCTATACAACACCTCAACCGACATACATCTCTTACCTATTTGTTTCAAGTTGCAAAAGTCTAGCGGGAGGAATTGTCTTTTCTGGAGTTTGAGCATTTTTCTTATCAAATTTTCAAGGGGGACGCGGATCAGGAAAAGAACCGCTCCAGTGTCTTTTGGCTTGTTCAGATTATTTGTCACGCACGTTGACGAGCATCGCGACCTCTCTATACTCTATTTTGACCGCATTTCTCGTTTTTGCCATCACATACAGTTGATCGGCGCGCACGTATATAGGCGTACACGTTTTGACCTATTATAGTTATCATTTGCACATGTTTGCGGATACTGGAAGTGGAATACAAAGGTGGTCTCAGTTACAGCATCGCAAGAGGAGGCACACGAGGAGAAGAGAGGACAGAAGAGAGAAGAAAGAAGAGGCGTATATACATACTCATGTAATTATATATATACGCATAATACTGTGACGAAGGAAGAACAGAAACTCGTCACTTGACTCATTGCATGACTTGGTGCGTATGCTCGTTGTGACTTGTTGAAACCAGTAGAGGGTAGTGGTAAAATTGAGAAAACTACCTGATTGTTTTCTTCATTTGTGCCAGAGACCAATGTACCTTTAGGTTGAGGCATGTTGGTGCGGGACGAGGTATCCCGCAAGTCATTGAAAATATTAAACGATGTGAAGAATTAGTAACGAACTTGAATGCAAAGCAAGAGCGATCTTTTCACCCTAGAAGGCGCAGTGGCAGAGTGGTCTAATGCGATAGACTAGAAATCTATTCTCCTCGGAGGCGTCTGTTCGAATCAGGCCTGCGTCGGTGTATTCTTTTTGGGTGTCAAACCTCGTTTTAGTATATCTCTTTTCTCTTTCTCCTTCTTCTATACTTTTCTCTTGTCATTTTTAACTTCAACTCTTAAATATCTAGATTTGCCTTGCACTAGTTATATATCAAGGTAGGGTGAATATAGCAATACTTTGTTGAGTACAGTTTAGCTCGAGGTCGAATATGCATAAATCTTTGCCTGTAAAAATATCCATTCCATGGCTACTTAAGCTATACTTGGCCATCTCACTGATGACAGGGGCCTTTCACCCCGAAAGACTCCTAGCCAACGGGGTCCGAAAGCACCGCCCACTCCGTTGTAGTGCATACGCCACTGGAGGTGTGATTTGGGTACTTGTCAATCATGGACTCGCAGACGAAGAAACTTCAACTTCTGATAGGGATATAAAAATGAATAAAAGCCCATAGCCTAGGCCCTACCTGCTTTAAAGTCATCTAAAACTAAATTGCATTGCCCTATAATAGTGAAGGTCTCGACATTTTCCTGCAACCTCTAGGATGTGATGGGAATTCGAAGGAGGCGGGCAACAAGGAGCTAGAGGTACGTACCTCTTCAACACACACACGTAAGGCTTCACGAGCCACAGCGCGACCGTTCCAACCATCCTATCCCCGTCAGCTTCATCCATAAGTCGCATCTTTCCCCCCCTTCACATATCGACTCTCTTTATCGACAAAAATACCCTCACATCGCGCAGGAGGAATTAGACCATTCACAAGTTCTGACGACGATACAATGGCCGACGAGCAGCCCCGTGGCATCGACCACACTGATTCCATCGATTCGAATGATGGCCCGAAGCAGCCGGACAAGAAGAAGAGCCGTCGCCCTGCGAGTGAGTGTGCCTCAAGGATGCGCGCGATGCGGGAGAGAATTCATATTAATTGATGCCTCGTAGATACTGCCTTTCGACAACAGCGTCTAAAGGCCTGGCAGTATGTCATAACTACCCTCATCCCATTTACTCAAATCGCCCCCCTCGATACTGATACCATGCGACAGGCCCATCCTCACACCAAAGACTGTCCTGCCTCTCTTCTTCGCCATCGGCATTATATTCGCTCCCATCGGCGGTGCTCTTCTATACGCGAGCGCTCAGGTACAACACCCTTGATTCGTCACGTTAGACTATACCCGCCAAACCCAATTCTAATGCGCAAACCTAGGTCCAAGAAATCCGACTCGACTACACCGATTGTATTGAAAAAGCTCCCACCCTTGGCAAGGACGGCGGCGGCTTCAGGGGTATGCCAGGCAGTGCTGTCAGCACCGCATTCAAGAGTTCGAACACGTCAGTGAATGCACAGTGGGCCAAGGAGAGCAACGTCACCGTTAAGCTCGACAATGGTGTCAGCGTCTCGAACCCTCGATGCCATCTCAAGTTCACCATTCCAGAGGAGATGGGCCCGCCTGTTCTTTTCTACTACCACCTCACCAACTTCTACCAGAACCATCGCCGATATGTCCTCTCCTTCGATACCGACCAGCTCAAGGGCCACAAGCGATCTTACAGCGACATTCATAACTCGGACTGCACTCCTCTGTATGGTGAGGGTAACAAGCCTTACTATCCCTGCGGGCTGATCGCCAACTCCATGTTCAATGATACCTTCTCCAGCCCTGTGCTCTCGAACCCTCCCAAGGCCAGCAGCAATGATACGTGGGTGTACCATATGCAAAACAACACGGGGATCTCGTGGGACAGTGACAAAGATCTCTACGGCGAGACCCAGTACAACTACACTGACATCCTCCCCCCTCCCAACTGGCACGATCGCTACCCCAAGGGATACACTAAGGAGACGCCTCCTCCCAACCTCAAGGAATGGGAGGCTTTCCAGGTCTGGATGCGGACTGCTGGTCTTCCTACTTTCAGCAAACTGTACCAGCGCAACAACACTCAGGCTATGTGGTCTGGGACCTATGACCTGGTGATTGACTACCGTAAGTCATTGTTTCTTCATGTGGAGCAAGCATATCTAACCTCGATATAGGCTTCCCTACTCTTAAGTACAAGGGCACCAAGTCCGTCATCATTTCTACTCGAACCGTTGTTGGAGGACGCAATCCTTTCCTCGGCATTGCCTACGTTGTTGTCGGCGGTGTTTGTATTGTTCTCGGCACCGTGTTTACAGTTACTCATCTGATCCGCCCCAGGTTTGTCCCCAAGTCTGACAGTCGTTGACCTTATGCTAAATCCATGATAGAAAACTTGGAGATCACACTTATCTCTCGTGGAACAACGCCCCTGGTGCAAAGTCTGGTCCTAGCACTGCCGCCGCTTCGGGTCGCGAACTCCGTCCTGGCGAAGCTTAGACAGCTCGCGACGATTTGCGCGCTCTTCTCGCAGCTCCTACAAGCCCATCTCCCGCGTCTTTCAGATCACCGCCCAGTGCATCAGGTGGTCTCCTGGCCCCTCCCTGGTGTGCACCGTCCTAGGTCGTGTACGTCATCAAGGATATGAGTTAATCAGCACTCACAGGCTAGTAGATGTCGTTCTGAGAGAGTGCTTTTGATCATATTGGCTTTTTTGTTTATCACGTTTCTCCATCATACGTCTCGTTGTGTTTCTGTACGACTACTCATTTTTGCGGTCTCCTACTGTTGCTTTACTTCTGGTTTCGGGAGACTTATATCATCAAACATTGGTCTTTTACACGTGTGCTATGTCGGCCTCGTGTGCCCTTCACCCAGCAGGTACCTGTCCTTTTGAACAAGAAAATATAAGGAAAGGGGAAGGAGGAAGAGCAAGAATTGTGTTTGCTTCGTACTTATCTTTATATGGGTAGGGAGTTTGGGCGCGTTGCGACTCGGGAATAAGGATAGAATGAATTGAATTATCTATATACTCTTGAGTCCAATCACGATCTGACGTTTAGCAATAGATGCTATGCTGCCTCTAAGATGTGGGCTGTCACAGAACAGCAATCGTATGGCACGAAAATTACAATCTAAAATTGCTCAAAATCATGAATTATCTTATTGTGACTGATACAACTGCCCCTGACCCATCCTGACCATATCGATATCGATATCGATGAGCGAAGGAACTATAAAAAATCCTCACCACCAGACCAGCTATTTGAGATATGAAGTTCTGCAGCCTACATGTCCCCTTGAAGGAACTCGAGGGCCTGCAGCTAAACGTAAAAACCAAGTAGGAAAATTGTATGTTTTTAGTACAAATGGTGAAGCAACCAACCAGCGTCTCCTCATCCTAAGTTCACGCCGAAAAAAAGAAATATCATCTTCTCACCCGAAACCCAGTCATTATGTCACCGTTTAGCGCTTGCGCTTCTTCTTGCCGCCTCGGTCTTCTTCCTCCATGGCACTCTCGCGATCGCGCTTCTTGGCCTTGCGCTCGAGCTCATCCCAATCCTCACCCTCTTCGTCACTGTCGAGCTCTGCATCTTCATCGTCGTCGCTTGCATTGCTGCCGAAATCGGATCCTTCGTCACTAGATTCAGACTCCTCATCGAATTCGTCCTCATCCATCTCAAAGGCCGATTCTTGCTCAGACTCACCCTCGCCATCATCATCGTCAGAGTCAGCTTGCAGGAAAGACCAACCACCATCAGCAAAGAACTGGTGGGTGTCTGCAGTGACTGTCTTCATGATAGTTGGCCAGTTGAGGTTAAGAGGACCTTCTGTGTAGGCGATATCGGAGGAGTCGAGCCATTCCTTGACCTGGTCGAGGAACTCGACAGGGATGGTGTTGACGTGGTAAGGGGGTCGTGTAAAATCCTTGAAGACAAAGACCATATCAAAGTTCTTCAGGCCGAACTGAACACGTTCCAGGTGGGCAATCTCAACTTCCTCAATGGTGATGACCATAAAAGGAGGCTCGACAACCTGAATGAGGCAGTCCGTGGTAGGTTGCACAAAGACATTGCTTCGGAATGGCACACCATGGAAACCAAGGTCACGAACAGGCATGTCGACCTCGATGCCTTCGTTGCGACCAGCCTCGGCAATCTTCTGAGCAAAGCCTTGGAACAGTCGATCCAACTCGGCTCTGCGACGTCGTTCCTCTTGTTCTGCCTCGAACTCATCCTCGTCACCATAACGGTACTTTCGCTTGCGGTTACCCGTCTCATCGAACTGAATGTCTGTGGCTTCTCGGTAGAACTGAACATCCTTCGTCTTCTTCTTGTTGCCAACAATGATCGGGTCCTTGAGATGAATGTGAATGATAACAATCAACTCATGCTGACAAGGTTGGAAAAAAAGGTGCTTGACGTTGGAAAATAGTATATCTACTCGGTGTTGTGCGTTGAGGGGTGAGATATATCGAATACCGTTCTGGTGAATCTCGACCTTGCCTGGTACTCGCTTGCCTTCCATAGCTGGACGGATATAGACGTTGTCCAGCACAGCTGGTCGTCGGTCTGGATATTGGTTAGCATCGACTGATCCGAAACATGTTTAGCTTTGACTTACTCCTTATCTCGACGAGTTTGTCCTGCTCGACGACATCCTCCATGTCCTTCTTTTCCTGCTCCTTCTTAACCACATCGCGCTTCATGTTGGAGATCTGAGTCGCTATTTCATTGTATCTCTCACCATCAGACGATCGGAAGGTCAAACTTCGCACAAAGTGCGCCGATGCATCTTCGAAGGGCTGGTCATCCTTTCGGCCTACGCCCTGGCCAGGGGAAAGGAAATTGATACGCAGGAATGCCCAATCACCCTCGTCGCTTTTACTCGCGTTCTTGATAGTGTTGATGTGGAAAGGAACAGGGCGGCCCATGATGGGCAAAACGACTGTGTTGTTCTTGATATCGACAACAACCTCGAGGTTCTTGATCTTGCTGGGAAACTGATTGTCTCTCTTGTAAGACTCGAAACGCTTGAACTTCTTGACCTCACCACCGTTCTGGCCACTCGTGGATTCTGAAAATCTGGCGAGACCCTCCCTTTGCTTCCTCGCTGCAAGTTCCTTCTGATGCTCCCGTCGCTTCTTCTCAAGGTCGTCGTTAGCGACTTGGGTTGTGCGTTCTGAGCGAAGTCTTGTGCTTGTGATGTTCTTGGTCGCAACGGCACCAACTCGCGAGTCCTTCTTCTCCTTCTTAGGGGCAGGCTCTGCTTCTTCATCATCCTTGAAGAAGAACGAGTTGGCATCGGCGCTTGTTGGGGCCTCGGCTGTGAACACAACGGGCTCTGCCGAAGTGACTCGAATGGTGTCGGTCAAGACGAGCGCATAGATCTTGCTGTTCTTATCCTGGGGGGACGGGTTCTCGATGTCTTGAAACCCGGTGTTGATGATAAGAGTCATGCCATCCTTCAGAACCCGCTGGTTCTTGGCGTTGAGAATCAAAGTAGGATCCTTGTTCTCTAATCCAATACCCCAACCAACGTTCTTTAGGAAATGCTTCTCCATATCTGGCTTCTTGCTCTTTATAATGCTGACGGCTCTGCCATAAACCTCCTTCGCTGTCATACCATCACGAATCTCCTTGATGATAGTGTTGTGGATGAGAGTAAGAAGCTTATAGTTGCTCTCCTGAGACTTGTTGGGGTCGACGAGGTAAGTTCGCGCGATGGTAGAACAGTATGACTTATATCGAAGCCCCATGGCGGCAATGATGATATTCGCGTGAAGATTGTCGTCGTTGGGTTCACCGGCAAACCGAAGATCGTACTTGCCACCACTCTGGATCGAAGGTCCCAGAATCCAGTCCAGCTGAGCGGGATCGAGGTCCGAGGGAAGTTTGCCCTTGCTAGGCAACTCGACTGTCTTCCAGAATTGGTTGTCGTCGAGCTTCTTGTCAACCTTGTCGGCGAGTGTGGAGTGTTTGACTTTCTTTTCGGCATCGAGGATGTTGGACATTTCGTCGAGGAAGTAGGGGGTCATCAAGGCAACACAAGCCTTGGAGGCGGTTCGCATGGCTCGGAGTTCGCTCTCGTCCTTTACGGCAAAGGCGTAGGTAGAAAGGGCGGCGGAAATGTCGACCTGGGTCACATCCTTGCACTGATCGTTGAACAGCTTCTTCCACTCATCGACGAAGGGTCCTCGGGAGGTGTCTTTGGCAATGGTGCCGACCTTATTCTGAAACGCATTTGTTAGGACTGAATGACAATGAATTTTCAACCAACTTACTCCTGTCTCCTTAATCTTATCGGCAAGCTTAATGAAGAGCTTCTCGTTTTCGGCAGCATCCTTGCCTCGCACAAGGACTTCGATTGGGAATCGGCCCCCTTTCAGCTGTTCGAGATGCTTGGCTAGAATAGATTTAGTATGAGTCATTTTGCGCAGGCAGAAATGCGGTCGCACCTTTCTTCGCTGTTGTGAGAATGTACAACGTGTCCAGGGTGAACAACATAAGGGTCGTCGGAAACTCGTATCCAAGAAGCCAGAACTAAGATATTGTTAGTACATGCATCTCGCATTCGTTTCTAGTCGTCGTGGGATCGCATACGTGAATCGCATTGTTCTTGTGAAATTCGGGGATCTCTTCAACCTTGCCCATCATCACAATGAGGGACTGAGCGCCGTTGAACAGGCCATCCTTGGAGCGCAGGTCATTCTTCCAGGCAGTGACAAAGTGGGAGATGCGCTCCTGGAAGAGCTTGCTGTCAATCTTGATCTCGGCCATCGTTTCTGATGGAATCGCGATCGAGAGTGACGGGGGAAAGCTGAAGGAATATAGAGCTGATGACGGGAGGTTGCGACGACGCGAGAAAAAGTGAGGTCGCGTTAATGATCCGAGCTGGAGCTCCCTGTCACGTGATGTCCCGCAACGCGTTCCTTGGGTGACTGATGATCCAAATTATGGTGAACGAATACAGCCTGATGAATTAACCGTGGCAGGTCAGTACTCCAAGCCATTAACAGTCCAAGTTTACTTCAGGTCCCTTCTGTCTTTTTTTTCTTGTTTGCAAGCTCTTATTACTTTGCTTCTTTTCGTATGTTAAAAGAGTGCAAGTTTCGAGGGATGAAAGACCGCCAAAACGCAGTTGAGTTGGTGGAGCAACCAAGTCCAGCAATATCTCGAGATGATGGTTCGTGAAGATGAACACAAACCCTCCCAAAGACGTGGGCATTTGTGGCTCACTTTCTTGTGCGGATTCAGAATGCGCCACAGATGTGTGAGTTCATCTCTTTGCATGTAGTTTCAAACTTCAGCGCAACCATTGTCTCGTAACGCCTCTTCTCACCTGAGGTCACGTAGCCTCGTAGCCAGTAGTGGAGTAATGCCAATGCTTTTATTTAAGACGGTAATAATCGAATGCTATATTTGATAATGTTTATTGTATAGTGTCTTGAATAACATGAGGGAAGAAGGTAAAGAGTATTCGAGAACAAGTATAGAGCATACACAGTTACTTTTTGTCCAACCATCAGCTCAGTACATGCTCCGTATCAGGTCACTCTGTATACTCATCAGCAACACACTGAGGTCCGAATACAGTGCTAGAATTCTAGAAATTCGATTCATGGTCTCGAACAATTCCGAGCTCAGTATCCGAGGTTTAGAGGAACCGCTTTTCTACCATGAATGCACCATGATTGAGACCGCGGAATGAATTACCTGAAATACCTACGGCTTACACTCCAATCCTGATATCCAACCCGAAAAGAACTTGATTGTGGTACGGAAAACTTCTTTATATTCTTTCCGGTAGTTTTCAGACCTGCTGCTTTTCACACCTGCACAATCTAGAAACATCAAACGTCAAATGCCGGGATTAACCTCCGCCTGTCGGCGCCGGTTTTCGGGAAGTGGAGTCGGGAGTTGCGATTCAAACCCGACCCCGCGCATGCCCGGGTGAACATATAACCAAACGCGAATACCATACCTCTCACGTAACTTTTCTCACAACTTGTTTTCTCAACCTCATTTACTCTGTGACTTATAAGACACGCAGTTTCCCTCTGGTAACATTGTCTCTGAACACTCTCATATTCATATCGACTTACGCCATACTATCTGCCATCATGAGAGTTCCTTACGTATCCAACCCTCCTGAGACCAAGTCCGAGGAGCATGCCGCCATTGTAAAGCGCATAGAAGAGCGCCGCGCCCCTCGGCCTCTCCAATCTCTGGATTTAGCACTTCTTCACTCCCCTCACGTTGCTGATGGCTGGAACTCATTCCTCGGCGCTGTTCGTACCAAGACCTCTCTAAGCGACGACATTCGAGAGCTTGCAATTTCACGAATTGCTGTGTGCAACAAGGCCTGGTACGAATGGAAGCACCATGCGCCGCTAGCTGTCAAGGGCGGTGTGTCTGAGGCTGGACTTGAGGCTATCAAGGGGGAGGAACTTGGTGAGCGGCCTGCTGAGCTATCAGAGAAGCAATGGGCTGTGCTGCTGTACACGGATGAGATGACGAGGAACGTTCAAGTCAAGGATGAGACCTTTGATCGTCTGCGGGAGTATTTCAACGAACAAGAAATTGTGGAAATCACAGCCACGGTAAGACAGTCCCTTGTCCCTCTGTAGCCATCAAACTTGTCCTGACACCAACAGGTTGCATGCTACAACTGTGTAAGCCGTTTCTTGGTGGCACTCGACGGTAAGCTCACGTCATACATTCATTTCCGCTCTAACTAGAACTAACAATGCTACAGTCGGGGAGAGAAATGGTACCGGCCCCGAAGCCATCTCTGGTCATTGATAGACAGTTGTGTCCTGCCAATTTCCAGGAGTAGCAGCAAAATGAAAAGAAGAAACATGCCTTGATCATGAATAGTGACTCATAACCCAAAAACAAACAGAGTGGTAGAATAAGACAAAAACAACCGTCCTAAGGAAATACCACGACTTAAGGCCGCGGGAAAGGGGTATCATCCCATCTACAGAAGTGAAGTGAAACAAATGAACCAAACTCCTCATGAACAAAGCCCCCGAGGCCCCATCCTCGCCAAACCAACCCGTCGTTAATCGTTGCTCATTCAACCATGCCTCCTGTGGTCGTGGTGAGTGTCCGCTGTCATGCTGGACTATGCTGTTTTGTAAATATGTTGGCGGCCACCTGGCCGCACTGAGAACGCCGTGTAATGAGGATTGTGTAATGTCCATGCTGTATCGTCGCACTTGACAACCTGTAAGAGTTATGCCGTCTCGCTGTAACCAGAAACCAAAACGAAAAGAAAACCATGAAGTCTAAGACCAAACCGATGCTTCAAGATCACGGCGACTTGGAATATGACCTTGACATTGCGCGCTCAATTGAAGCATGACGCTGATGCATTTTAGGCGACGTTTGTAGTTCCTGGACAACTCCCGCCCAGCCCTTACGGCTAGGTTTTGGTATGGGCTCCGGGTGGTTAACGAGAGCCTGGGTGGTCAAACTGCGCAAGGGAGGACGGTTGATGATACCCTCCATTAAGCCTCTAGGAAGAGCAGGACGGGTTGGAGTTTTAAAAATCGGTGATTTTTCCAGATCCCTTGCCGTAGGTAGAGGCGGCGGAGGCGGCGGCGCAGAGGGTTTCTCATGAGTAGTGGTGCTTGTTTGTGATGCGACGACGCCCATATAAACGACAAGGAAGCGCATGCGTAGCATGTCGAGCCTACGAACCCGATCCTCTAACCTCGATCGCTTCGACGCCCACAACAGCCTGGCGGAAGTCTTTAGCTTGGTGGTGTCCTCCTCAATCACCACACCATTGATGTCCTCGCGCAAATCATCACCCGTCTTCTGGATCTCCCTTAGGAGCCGTGTCAAGCGGATCTTATCATCAAGGCGCTGCACCTTTGCGACGTCACGATCATAGCTCTCGTTCTCCTGGACGGAAAAGTCGGCAGTGTCAAGAAATGTTGCAATTTCGAGCGGCGCCGCTTGGTACGCGGCCGTGTAAGAGGAGATGATCTGGACGAGGACGATGAGGGACAGAATGACAGCGATCAGAATGAGGATGATAGTCCACTGGAGCAGATTGAACTCGGCCATGGTTGAGCAGAGCGTCTAGATGGCAAGTCGAGGCGGAGGGTGAAGCTATCGCGCATGGTCCTTGGGGAGTTGTGTGTTTGTGGGAGAGAAAAGGGAGAGAAGGGGAAGAGGCGCACACAATATGCAGGTGAAAGGCAAGGGACATGAGCGATGACGACGGGAAGAACAAGCACAAGCGCAGCCAAATCCAACAACCCCAACAATCATGCCGTACAGTACTGTATCTGAACCTATCAAAGAGAACCTGCGCGTTTGTGTGCGCTCTAATTAACTAATAGAGGCACCTAGTTTCTAGGCTCATACACAAGCCGAGCTTCCATATTCGTGCTGGACCACTTGGTGCAGATGGCTGGGGATCGAGAAGAACCCCCCTGCAGGTGCATCTGCAACTAACGATAGTCCATAGAGACAGGGCAGGGTATTCAAGTCAGTCATCACATGGTCATGGCCAGTCCAGTGGGATGCGATGCGCGACTTGATGGCGTTGTAGTTGTCTGACTGATACTATTTTGCATGACCCCTAAAAATGGGTAAGCGTGAGGTACCGTGATGATGATGTACGCGGAAGTGCCGGGCGGAAGAAACGGTCAAGACGGTATCTGGTGATGTTAACTGATGGTGGTTTACACAAAACGTACTCAATAACCATACGTAGCCATCACAACTTGTTAATGTCATAGTTTAAGAGGATGCACCACAAGCCTGCTCAAGATTGGCAGTATCCAAAAACTAATGCTGCGTTGCCGAACCGTCCAGCGGGTTTTCACATTGCATTGGCGGATGGATTGCATTCCGAGTGGGTTCATCTGCAGGTTGAGAATCACCATCGGTTGGATGTGACCAATTCTTGCAGGACACTATGCTAGGCTTATTTGAGTAGTGTCTCGGATCCTCAGAGCGCCCAAGTCCATAAAAGCATGGGTATTGAGGTCTGGAATTAGGGTTAGGAGAAGGGCAGTACCTTGGTGGATCAAGTCTAGGGCTTGAGGAGGAGAAAGAGAGCTGAAAGACATTAGTTTGTTGAGGTGAAAGTTATGAGAGTCATCTAGTATGTATTGAATCTTTGAGTAGCTCCCCCGGCGATTTAAAATCCATGGAGGGGTAAAGAGAAGTTGGCTGGGTTGACGTTGTTGTCATAAGTCGGAATAAACTTGATTCGTTACTGAAGGCTTTAGCCGCTGTCAGTTTGGCACCCAGTAAAAAGTTCGCGGGCCGTTGAAGGCGTGAGCGAAGTGGTGCCAATTATTTCTCTTCTCTCCTCTCCCTTGTCCCTTGGGCAAGGTTCTGACATTCCACTGACTTCATCGATGCCCTGTACCTGCGCCAGTCTTCCAGCTTATCAGAATCATCGGATCTTTCTCCACTGATATCGCCTGTTTCTGCATTCTCTATTACCATCCTCGTCCTCCTGCTCCCAAGAATCCTCAACAATATTAGGAACCTGCTCATGGCGACGACTACAGCGACGGTGACGGCTGACCCCGCGCTGCAAGCGCAGCAGTTTCCCCTCCCAAAGATCCTCGAATACCCCGCGTCGACCCCGCCAATCCTCATCACCCAAGGTGCCGAGGGTCGCCTCTACAAAACCACTTACCTATTACCCGATATTCCCTGCGCCCTCAAGTATCGCCCTCCTAAGCCCTGGCGTCACCCGATTCTTGATCAGCGGCTCACGAAACACCGGATCCTTTCAGAAGCTCGTATTCTTGCAAAGTGTCGCCGCGATGGGGTTCGTGTACCAGCTGTGTATGCTGTGGATGAATCTGCTGGGTGGTTGATGCTGGAATGGATATCTGGAGGCCCTGTTCGAAAGGGCATCAATGAGCGGCTCGGAAATAGAACTGAAGGCATAGAGAGCGATGCTGAGCTGAAGGACCTCATGCGAAGGATCGGTACTGCTATTGGCAACATGCACAAGGTCGGCATTGTCCACGGTGACTTGACCACAAGCAACATGATGTTGCAACCCCCAGCTAACCCCCAAGATGGTAATTCCTTACATGGAGAATTGGTTATTATCGATCTGGGTCTTGCGAGTGGAAGTATATCAGACGAAGACCGGGCAGTGGATCTCTACGTTCTGGAGAGAGCATTTGGTAGCACACATCCAAGAGCAGAGTGCCTCTTTCCAGAGGTGCTCGAAGCCTATGGCCAGACCTTCAAACAGGCCAAGATTGTTCTCAAGAAGCTAGAAGACGTGCGGATGAGAGGCCGCAAACGAAGCATGCTTGGGTAAACAAAAAGAAAAACAGAAAAGCCGTCTTGCAGCCAATTTCCCTACCATAGTGTCTAAACTCCGTGTATCTGATGCTCGCTGTTTTGCAAAAAACAAATGGACAAATGATGCCACTACATTCCATCCTATATGGCTTGGAGATCCAATATGCCAGAAACCCAATGGTTCATCATCTCTTCCTTTTTCCCTTTCTTTGTCTTTCCTCTTTTTCCCGGCCGTCAGGGAATTGTCCAACTATGGTGCCACCAGCTCCGCTCCAGCAAAATATCCCTTGTTCTCTATGACGCCTCGATCCTGTACGAATGCTGTGTATCGCACTACCCATTCCGGGACAATCTCTCCTGTCAAACCCGCACCGCTGTTATCGGGATCGGCAAGGAGACCTGCGCCGTTCGGCCCGTGGCTAAGAAGTTCTCGAAGAGTACCGTGAGGAAGAATATCGATACAGTCGTTGTGAACATGCAATTCCACGCCTTCTTCCTCGGCTAGCTTTTTCAGCGGAGGCGGAACATCGCAGCAGTTTCGCAGGTTGATCTGGTCGATGACGGGCCGGACACTCGCACGCTTAATGAAAGCGCCAAGTTTCTCGCTACCAAACTCGGCCACAGCAAGACGCTTCACGAGGCCTTGCTTGTGCAGGCCCTCGAACACCTTCCAAGTCGCAAGCTCCTCTTCAAGGTTCCCCTGTTGGGCATTGGTCTTGTCCGCCTCCCATTCGCAGTTTCCTTCGAACGAAATGCCAGGAAAAGATACAATCAGGAGGTCGATGGTCTGAATGCCGAGTTCTCTCCGGACCAAGTCCAGAGCCTCTTTGACATGTTGTTCCCGAGCAGCTACTGACATACCCGGGAGAACAAAAAACTTGACAGTGATCTCATACTGACTGGGTTCCTCTTGGAGGCCCGCGGCGTTCCAATTAATGCGAGGAACGTATAGCGCATCGCCTTCTTGTTCAGTCCAGAGGTCGACGGCTGTGTGCTTGCCTTTGGGCGTGTCGCCGTTCGTGAAGCCGTTCGTTTCTTGCGCATCGATCGCATAATCGCGCTGAGCTTCGGCGATGTTGTCACGCAGAGAATTGACGAGTTCGAGGTTGGATCTGTTGTTGCCGGGTTTACGGATAATGGAGGGGCCTGCCAACATGACATTGCTGTCGAGAGGGGTTTTGTAAGCATCCATTAAAACTGCAGAGAAGTCAGATAAATACATACGCAGTAGATAGAATAAGTCTCGTCATGATGAGATTATGTGAGATAATTGGAACACTAAAATACGAGAGAGATAATCCCAACAAACAAATGAGAAGAGAATGGTTCGAGGAGAGACTTTTAGTAGACAAGAGGGAAATTTTCGCCGTCGGGGTCTTCGAGGCGTAAACTCGGACACGCCAGTATTAAACCTGCAGACCAAAATAGTCTATTCCAAGGCGCGCCCACTGTTGAAATACGTGGGGTAAAGCAGATAGCTTAGTAATGTTTAATTATTCGAGGTCAAAGTTATTAATCACAGGCGAAGTTTGAGGTTTGTGTAATGATTCTACTGTATTTATGTTTGTCATGGCTGCAGATATCGAATCATGGGTAAGGTAGATCAGAAGTGAGTGGGAGGCTGGCTCTGAATGGCCATGGAAAAGGTTTGGGACCTGACATCAGTAGGAGAGCATAGTCGCGTGCTTGACAAGTGAGGCCAACTGATGACATAGTACCCATTACCATTTCTTTCACGTCAAGGTCGGAGAATCCTTTATCGTCTTCTGTGTACGTGGGGTGTAAGTATGTACCTACCTAGGTAGAGCATGTCGGCACTATATGGCCTACTAGTCGCCGTTGAATGTGCAGAATCATGTAGTGGGTGCCAATCACAATTACATAGACTGGTTCAATTACCTGGTAACTTCTTTATTAGAGACAGGATCATAGTATAACTTCAGAGAGAATAGGTAACTCGACTTAAGTTTAGCTTATCTGTGTTAACCTTAGATGGCGCCTGGCGCTCTCCTCCCGTCGGTATAGCAACTCAGTGTAGCCACTGAAGTGACCCACTGACTCCCTAGACTCCCAAGCCCAGTCAGCGCTGAGAGGGGGATCCAGACCTAGCACAGTAGGCGGATTGGCTGGAGCCTGGACCACCTCACCTCACTTCATCATTGGGCTTGCCGGCCTGAGCCAACTCGTCACCAACCCGCCAAAATTGCTTCCGTGTCCACCTTGAAGCCGGAATTGCTTCCTCCGTCATCTTTCGAAACCTCTCCCTGCCTTTTATCTGCACGCCTCGAAGCAGGCTCGATAGACCATCATGGCCATTCAGTATGCTTCTCCGTGGCATACCAACCTTTTCCGTCCGCTGACCGAGAGCTAACTACAGATATCTCATTCTCCTATCCCGTCAGGGCAAAGTGGTGTGTCTTGGTTCCTCACATGCGCAGCTTCAACAGCACTGACTAGTCATGACAGCGTCTTGCCAAATGGTTCACAACACTCTCCCCCAAGGATAAGGCCAAGATCGTCAAGGATGTATCTCAGCTTGTGCTCGCTCGAAGAACACGCATGTGCAACTTTCTAGAATATAAGGGTCAGTTTCCTAACCCCTTTGTTTTCATGACCTTGAGCTAATCATCAACATAGATACAAAGATTGTCTATCGCCGATATGCATCACTCTTCTTCATCGCCGGATGCTCCTCCGAAGATAACGAGCTGATCACCCTCGAAATTATCCACCGATATGTCGAACAGATGGACAAGTACTACGGCAACGTTTGCGAGCTCGACATCATCTTCTCTTTCACCAAGGCATACTATATCCTCGACGAAATCCTCCTCGCCGGCGAGCTGCAGGAAACGAGCAAAAAGAATGTTCTTCGCTGCATCGGCCAGCAGGACTCCCTTGAAGATATGGAGGTAAGTCATGACCAGCTTGATAAACTATGAAGTTTTGTGATAGCCCGGCAACCTACACCCACCCACCCACCAAATCGTCGCAAGACAGCTGACGCCAAGCCTCCAACAAGGTCGAGGACGAAGTTACAAAGATCATGTAAACCTCCTTGACGGCCTTTTAATTGCTATCCAACATGAATTCGACACCGCTCCCGAAGCGTCGGATTGAGGCGATCGATCAATACCTACCCAGCGATTTCATACGAGTTGCAGTATATTCACTGGCCGAGAATTAACTTTGGTTCAACAGGCCGACGAACAAGTATTGGTGTCGCTCAAGGAATCAGGAATTCTGTAATGGGAAAGTCTCGGGCGGCTGAGCATCTCTTCAATGGGAAGAGAGGACACGCATGTTCACATCGTGGGAATAGGCGCAGATGGTGTTTTGGGAGTCTCCGACCGTGTTGGTCTTGTTTTGTAGATCTTTGACGGTGGAAAACCACCTTCTTTCATATCAAGAGATGAGGCCTGCGGGCGATGGTGTTGCGACAGCTACGACAGGCAGCGCAGAGAGATTGTCTCCATTCTTCGACCCGTTATCGGTCAAACGTCGACGCAACAGTGAAAGGAGAGCGAGCCTTGAACAACAGCAATGATCATCATCAGAGGCTGCATCCCACTGAAAATAGTCAGGCCTGGCATGTTGGGTCACCTCCTGTGTTTATCGAAGCCGAAATCAACCGCACTGCTCCGTCGCAACACCTCGGCCCGCAACTGGAATCAAGAGAAAACGATTGACCTCATATGCTTGTTTCTGTTTCTGTTTCTTGTTTCTCAAATTTCCAACTGACGTTAGATGGTGACTGAAGATGGATCTGGCCCATTCATCAGAGGGGATGGGCTATTTCATCCTAGCGGTCGACTGAAGCGCGTGGTTTCGGAGTTCAGCCCCATTCGCTATCATTGATCAATCGCGTGGGGTTGGCGTCAGAGCATTCCTCCTATTACGATACGCCAAACTTACGCATTCGGGTCTTCGAACAACAGATCGTAATTAAGGGCATGTGCGAAACGATTGGATTGTAAGTTGGCACTGAAGAATTGATCAAAATAGAGTCCCTGAGGTTTGTCTCATGAGAGCCAAAGGATGAAGCATGAGGTTTACAGGGGGTCTCTTGGCTCCCGTTGACATGGCTTAACTGGCAGTACCGAGAACTTGCGCGATCCCCGGAATTCTTCAACATTGGCCGGACCAGGGCCGGGACCGGTCTAAGCTCACGCCAGCTCAACTCAGCTCTCAGCAAAAGTGACTGATTTTGAGATCCCGTGGCTGGCTACAGCAAAAGATCACACCAGATTTGAGTGGACTCAAACGTCTTTGTTTGACGAGAACGCAACGCAACACGCAAGTCAACGCTGCGCTGCACTACGCTACCTACGCAATGCAAGCGAGAGACAGAGTTACCGTTCATCCGCTGACCTCAGACAGCCCAACAGGCCATCCCCATTCTACTCCAACCATTCTATCCCGAAGCCGGCCAATTCCATTAACTCAAAGCCTATCCATATCCATCCATTCAATTGCGGCCCCTCAATCAGTCATCCTGTGTTTCCTTGGTCTCACAAACTAACCAGGTTCCTATCTGTTTGCTTATTGCTTATTCACATGTGTTAATCAACTCAAACTCAACCCTGTTACTTGCTTATCTCTATCCAACACTTCCCCCTTCCATCATCAATCGAATCGACCAGGTTCTCGGCAATCTCCTGTCCAATCTTGATCAGTGCCTATTATTATCTTCTGTCATCGCCAACCAATCTCTTTTTATCTCCGGTCTTTTAGATTCTCAGGGTCCTTGCCGGCTGCACTGTATCTCCCAACGTTACAGTAACGAATCTGCCGCCGATTACTCCGTCCAGGGCATTAAAAGTTACCACCGCGATTTAAGTTCCTGACCTCGCCCCTCCCGAACTGTACCTGCTCCTGACTCCGGCGATCTTTAATTCCCGACTTCCTTCCGCCCACTTTCAATCATCCTCACCCTCACACTGTTATCCCCCTCTTTCTCCTCAATCATCAATACCCCGTATCGCAGCAATACCGATTGTCGCAACCGATTTCGACGTCGTATTTTATAACATCGGCCATCGTACGCTTACCGCCATCTTTCCCATATCGCGACAACTGTCACCATCCGACTCCGGCCCACCGCGACTCCACGCTGACGCAATCTGTTCCCTTGACTGCTCCCTCAATCAGTCAGTCGCATCACGCATTTACGGTCCAGCGCATCAACACCGCAACATTTCCACCGCAGAATCGACCCCAAACTGCTCCTCCACCTCCAAGATGAAGGTTCGCAACCTCATGACCCCACGGAGGAGCCCCTCGTCCGACACATGCTAACGCGCACATCCAGTATCTACCAGTACAAGACTTCGAAGCGGTGACGAGCGCGCTGAACTTCAACACACCCGACTGCAGCGTGACCGGTGGATGCGATCTCTACACAACGAAATCAACAGGTTCCGACAAGAAGCTCTACAAAAACATCGACAACGATCTGAACTCGCAACATGAAGCCCTTCTCAAGCTCGGCGCCAGCCTATCACCACCTGAGCGTGCTCACATGCTTGCTACATCACCGAGCATGCAGCTGTTTTCACATTCGAGTGCTTTCGGCCCCTTGTCCGAGCTCTCGAGTCGCAAGACATTTGCATACCTTATCGCGACGCTGAATGCGAGTCACCCACACTACGATTTCTCTCATGTCCTTCGACCCAACGACTTCAAACGCGAGCGAAACCTGCGTCGCGTCATGGTCAACCTGGATTCAATTCTCCAGAACGTAAGACCTAACTTCGAGCCTAAATCTCTCGGTTCCTCGCTAGGCAGTGAGACAAGCTCGATATGGGGGCCCCAATGCTGGTCACTAATCGACAAGGAGATGCACCTCAACGAGTGTACTATTTTCAGCTACAACCCCGAGAGCGACCCTTTTGAAGAAGACGAGAGTGCAATCTGGGCTTCACACTACTTCTTCTTCAACCGTACCTTGAAAAGAGTGGCATATCTCTACGTCCGCGTCGTGCCAGTTATCTCGTCTCATAGCCCAACTCTCCGACCCACAAATCTGGCCAGGAACCACAGCAACCAACGGGATCTCGAATCAGCTGGCGCGCAGAAACGCGCCAACTACTGGCTTGGTGATCAAGATGCTGAGTTAGTGCCATATAATGAGGACGACGAGGAGCTCAATGACGACGGTCTTTTCTGGAATCGCGGAGAGAACGGAGATCTCGTTGCCTATTCAGATGAAGACTTCGACGAGGATATCGAGGATATGGACATGCTCGATAGCAGTCCTGACAGGTCCATGAGCGATGATGTCGCGGGTCGCATGGAGATCTAGGGTCGATTTGATCCAAATCGTCATGATGGATCGGTTCTTCAAGAAACGGCCTCTTCGGTTCGAAACCTAACATCAGCCGCATTTCTCTGGATTCATTATTTGCTGCATTATTTCAACGTTCAACACTATCCTAATCTCAACTAGGGTTGCTCGATACCAACAAATCGAGACGAACGAAGCTAAATAGCACACGACTTTTGCTTCGCTTTTTCGTATTTCACGGGCATTCTTGCGTCATGCTCTTTTCTTTCGACATGCCATTTGCTTAGTATGAAACTGAGGCCCGGTTAGGCTTCTGGTCGGTGAGAGCGGCTGGAATTCCGCGACATGAGGCGTTTTCGGGTTCTGCTTGTCAACCTGCTATTTCCTGGAGATGATTGCAGGTTTCTCTGTTCTAATTATTGGACCCTTTTTTTTTCTCTCTCCTTTCTTTTTCAAGCATTGTTATTCTATATCCTTTAACCTGGGTTTGGCTTTGGCTGCTTTTGATTGGATTACCGCCTGACATGGCTATGCCTGGATGTATGATGAGAAATCGTTGCTCGGTGTTGGTGTCGTCTCGTTTAGGAACGGCATGGGATGATAGTTGGCGCTGGCGGCATGGGAATTCGGGTGAGAGTAACGACCTGGTTTTACGGTGATGATGTACATGATGGGTTGGGGGATGCATGCCATGGGCTGGTCAGTCTGGTAATTGCTTTGACACGATACTGCGAATTCATGATTTCAAATTCCCAATGGCTTTACTCATCAGTCCTGGATAAGTACCTTACTTAAAAGTGATCATTGTTTCCTCGACCTTGAGTTTAATCGAGAGCAAGTCTATGCGTAAAAAGACACGTGTGTATCCGACAAGATGACGCAAACAGCTGTATACACCTAGGGTTCATTCGGTGCGCAAACACGGCCAAGCATTCAAATCTGACTTGAACTATCTTTGACATGAGTTTATGGTTGAGCATGGTGCCAGGTGTGTCTTACGTATATGACAGCGATATTCAAATACATCCCGATTTCTGTATCAACCGCTGCCATGGAACTTTGAAATTATCCGGCTGTTCAAGCACTTGAGCATCCCACAAAGATGATCCATTGATAGTATGCCGTTTGACTTCTCGACGGCATATATTTGAGTCCGTCGTGGGTTCTTTGTTGATTTTGATTTTGGTGGCGAAGAGGTTCTGGTCGGTGACTGGATGTGGTATATGTATCATGTAGCTGTGTTACTTCCGGGGTTACCTCGAGGGTTCACAAAGTATAGTTACTCTCTGGTGTGTATTTAGAGATAAGGTTCGGCCGAACGTGACAGCTGACTTCGGGAAAGGAACCCGTAGCCAGTCTACATAATCCGAAAGGCTTTTCCATCAGCATATGGCATCGTTAGAGTTAACGTGGATGAGCCATGTCTGATGCTTAGTCTACGGGTTCTCTCACAAAGGAAGTATGTCACTATATCCTTTCAATTGGTTCCACGCGACTTCGACACACAGACTGAGGGGTAAAAGGCTACCAGAGGTACTCGTGTGGCCTCAGTGGTGATGGTGACGAGGACACTTATCTGATATTACCCCCAACAGACCAAGTTAGCAGGTCTTGATGGAACAAGCCAATCTGAAAGAAAGTTGGGGGAGTCACAACACAGTCTTGGGTAGCACATGTGCTTGCTTCGGAGTCGGGTTGTCAATCCGAACCCCTCTTCTCTGCGAGGATGGGTTTCCTATAAGACCGGCTCAAGGAGGGAAGAGGAGAGGGCAAGAGTATAGCTTCTTAGGTATCGAATACGACGATGGCAAACTTTGATTGGCACGCTGAGAGAACTGATCTGTCAGATCTGGCTCTCCTGGATCGAGCCCCTGAGAGTGAGGGGATAGATCTCAGGGCAGTTCGTCTATATCGCCTTGATCGTACACGAAGCCAGATGGTCAAATATGGCCTCGACGCTGCTATCATCAGTGATCCCGTCAACATTCGTTATGTGACTGGTACTCGGAACATGCAAGTCTTCACAGCACGGAACCCTCCCACGCGGTATCTTCTCCTCACGGCAACTCGATCCATCATGTTTGAGTTTGCGGGCTGCCTTCACTTGGCTCAAGGCTACGAGACTGTCGATGAAGTCCGCACAGCAAAGTCTGTCACTTTTACGAGCAGCGGCCCCAAGATTCACGATAAGGAGAGGAAATGGGCACAAGAGATGGCTGATTTGGTTGAGAGTCTTATTGGAAAACGGAATGCTACACTTGGTCTGGAGCGTATGAATGCAAACGTTGCTATCACCCTCAAGGAGCTCGGCCTCAACATTGTGGATGCTCAACAAGCCATAGAGATGGCAAGGACTATCAAATCGCCTGAGGAGGTCAAATGCATTGTCGCATCTCTTCGCGCAACAGAGGTCGCTGTGGGCAAACTCCGCGATGCAGTCTCACCAGGTCTTACGGAGAACCAACTCTGGTCAGTCATGCACAAATCTGTAATTGAGCAGAACGGAGACTATGTCGAGACTCGACTCCTCGGCGCTGGACCACGAACAAACCCTTGGTTCCAGGAGTCAGCAAGTTATGTCATCCAGAAGAACGACCTCGTGGCTTTAGACACAGACGTAGTCGGTTGCCATGGATACTACTCTGACTTCTCACGAACGTTTCACGCTGGCCCAGATCCTCCTACCGAGGAGCAAAAAGAGCTGTACAGGACTGCACTTGCACAGGTTAATCACAACATGAGCATCCTCAGGCCGGGCTTGACCTTTCGCGAGTATGCAGATCTCGCGTGGGATATTCCTGAGCAGTATTGGGCCAACCGGTATTTTGTCTCGGCCCATGGCTGTGGGCTTACGGGGGAGTATCCGTATTTGTATCATCGAGGAGATTTCCCAGATGCTGGTTATGATGGTGTTATCGAGCCGGGCATGGTACTTTGCGTGGAGAGTTATATTGGCAAGGAGGGTGGTACACAGGGTGTCAAGCTGGAGCAACAAGTCCTAATCACCGAGACAGGGATTCAGGTTTTGTCAAAGTTCCCCTTTGAGGAGGCTATGCTGAAGTGACTGGGGCAAGTCAACTATTCTATACTATGTTATCTGATATTACTGTCTTGTCCAACAGTCCACTTGTCCTCTGGATATGAACATGAATCAATCCATCGGTAACTAATAAGGCAAGCATTCGAGCTGAGAGCATTGCCCGCAAGATCGATCATAGAACTTCGCTCCTCTGTCATTAGCCGAAATGCCCATACTCTCCTTGGGGGTCGATGAAAGGTAACAGTTCTTGTAATATTGGGAAACGACCCAGCCAAATACCACACAGCTCTCATCCTCCAGACATGCTCGGGCACACATCTCGACGCTCCCCTGAAACATCGACATGGATCTGTAATTTGGGCCATTGCTGTTGAAATTTCCCTGAGTACCACCGCAGAGACTAGTAGTCTCTGTTGGAACGGCACAGGCCGGTTTGTATTCGCCCACATAGATGTCGTCGATAGCTACATAACGAGCGACAGCCTGGTTGTTAACTCTGATAAAGGCATAGAGGTGGTCGTCCGTTGCTCCTTGGAAGATCGCAGTGCGTTGAACGTATTTGAAAGGAGCGCCTTTCGGAACAAAGACAGTCTCTTTGTGGACATGACCATATCTCTGAGTGGCGATGATGAAGGAAAAATCCCAATCTTGATCAGGGTCAGAGACAGGAGCATATGAGAACCAGACTTGGTACTTCTTTGTCGAGTCTAGGGATATGGGCCTCCACATATCAGATCCAAGGGTAGAGCCTGGTCCTGAGCTGACAAGTCTTATGTGATGTTAGCTGTGATGGAGTCTGGGAGAGCTGTTTTGTTTCGACTTACGCAAACTGTTCGCCACTGTGAGCACGCGGTACGTCCTGAGAGGTGCTGCTCTTTTGTTGAAATGGTACAGCAATACCGGCGAACTGCCCCATATAGTCCCATCTGTTCTCGCCCGTATTGTCCCCCTCAAAGCTTGGGTCTTCGATAGAAACTGAGACAACGGGGCATGATGCTGATGAGGTTGTTGAAGTCCATAGGCTCTCTGTTGTCGACGTGCTTTCGGATGATGATAAGGATGTAATCAGGGTTGTGGTGGCGTCAATGCTTGTGGGTGCTTCACTAGTCACAGTTGTGGCATCAATGGTTGTAGTAGATCCGTTGGATGTGCTGATATCAGTAGTGGAAGTATCGGTTGAGACCCTGCTGTCTCCTGAGCTGACTGTCTCGGTTGTTGCATATGATACGGTAGTGTCAGTCGATGTTCTAAGCTCGGCTGAAGTTGAGTGAGCAGAGGTAGCTGCATCGGCGATTGCAGTCGACTTGTTGGATGTGGTGGGAATGATTGAAGTTGCTGTATCAGTAGTACCAATCGAAGCACTAATAACGCCTGAGTTAGAGGTGCTGGCTGAAGTCAAGCTGTTGCTTAGTTCCGATTTATCAGTAGAGATGGTGATAGTGGCCCTCGTGGTAGTCGAATCCTCGATTGTCGTTACATCAGCCAAGGTTGAACCAAAACTACTTGGCGAAGTCGAAGTCTCAGAACCGAACTCAGAATCAGAAATAGCTGTAGGGTCGACAGAGGCTGTATAGTCCGGAAAGCTTGCACTCAACGTTGTGGTTTGCGGCCAAGTTATAGTTGAAGAACTACCCAACGCTGTTGACCCCATATCGACAGCACCGGTAGAACTTGAAAGGTCCGTTGAATATGAAGCATCCAGACTCTCCGTGGTTTCAGTTTTAGAACCGATCACCCTTGAGGTATCTGAGATCAACGACAAAAGTGATGTATACTCAGGTTGGGGATGTGGTTTACATTTTCCAGCCTCAGCAACAAAGAAGCTCGATGCTGTTAATACAGCAGCAAGCACCTTTGAGGTCACCATATCCGCATCCGTCTTTAAAACGAGTAGGCATATACTCTATTGTACATGGGCGAGTGTCCCTTTTTGTCCAACCAAAGTGGTTATCAAGAAATAACCATATCTAGAAGCGCAATTCTAGATGCGTTTAGAACAAAGGGGAACCCAAATAAAACAAGCTACTAGATCCATCGGACTCCAGCTTATTGATTTAACAAGGAATAATTACAATCAATAGGATATGGCTGTGACATAGCGTCAGGGGTACACAGATCTTGAAGTGGTGAAAAGGACTGATACTAGGCCGTTTATGGACTTGAGGACAATTTTATTCTGCAGCGCCATTTCTTTGGCTTTATCAATAGTTTCGTGGTCTAGGCTCTACAGACTTTAACAGCCTGCGAACCACGTTCAAAAGGAACCGCAATTTGCCAAAGCCTTTATTGAAGATAGCCATGCGTATACGTCTCCAAGCATTGGATAGGAACTGAAGATGCCATGAGTAAAGCGCCTAGAAGTATTCCCATATCAAGACGAAGGAGACGAAGAAGCGAGTCGTGATCGCTCTAGGAAAACTTGCTAGTGAACCAGAGGCAGTACTTCTTTACTAATTTTTTTTTTCCCGTTATAGAGGAAAAATAAGAAGAAAAGGACAATCTGACTCAATAACTGGCTCGGATCCTTCAACAGTTCTTTTTATTGTTAGTTCTCAATCAAGTTTCGCATCCTTGCCTTACTAAGGTAAGGTTCCTTGAAGAAGTAGAAGATGTACTTTTATAAGAACAAGACGGAATGTCGATGACGCAAGAAAAATCCATATCAGGTATCAGTCGACCTCACTCTATATATTTGACCTACTAAAAACAAATGATGGCCATCTTATCTCAAGTTCCTAGAGATCAGAAGTCGTCAAGGCATCTAAATTTTCCCTTAACATAAGGGTATCTGTATACTTGAGGTGGGATAACCTATCATTTTAGTCACGAATATTCTTATGCTTATAGTAGTAAAGCAACCGTTTTGATATTATAGTTAATATGTCGTTTTCTTGCTAGGCCTAGAAAGACGTATTTCTTCTCAGAATCGATCAAACGCAAATAGAACCAGATTCAAAGGGTTCATGTCTTATCTCTTATCGCGATTCTTGACATGGGCAGATTGGCCAATCAAGTCACCCAGATTCCTCCCGTCGCGGGGCCTCGCCCAAGTCTCCCAAATTTTTTCCTGCCATCGATCGCTTTCGCTTCATCTTGACTCGTCTTCAGCTTCGACTTATCAAAGTCATCGCACACCACGACAATCGCAAGCAACACCACGACTTTTATGTACCATTGCTTATCGCGGTAAAAAGCAGTGCAAATCAGCTCTGCTTCCGATAAAAGCTCCAGAGCATGGCCGTCCAGACATCGCCATCGCTCACTTCGACCTCACATACCTTGACTGCCGCGCCGCCCGCAATGGCTGCTCCCGATTCTCTCACAAATAGCCACGTCTTGGCCCTTTTAGAAAGCCTAGCCGACGGCAAGCGACACGCTTTTCTTCAACCCACAGCTTCCATCCCAACCGATTCTCTCAACCTCGTCAAGCACACTCTCGAAGGTTTTGCCTCACAAGTCGGGGATGAGCAGCAAGAGAGATTAAAGGAAAATCGCAAGCGCAAGAGAGGCGCTGCAAATAGTGAGGATGTCCTTAAAATGCGCAAGGTCTATATCGATGGGTTCGAGACCGGCCAGGTTTGGCAGCAGGCCAAGAGAATTATTGGCGGTGTCTTGAAATATTCAGAAGAGGCGCTGGCAGAGTTGGAGGAGCGCAAGGAGATTGCCGTCAACGGTGCTGATGCGTCAGACTCCAAGACGCTCGAATTTGGAGAGGATGGCTTCGAAGTAGACTCCGAGGACGACGACGAGAGCGATCAAGATGGATCCGAAGACGAGGAGGAACAATTATCAGTGGACGAAGCTCAAGAAGATTGCCAAGAGGACGACTGGGAAGATGACGAAGAGGAGATTGAAGAAGGCAGAGACGATTATCAGGAAGTTGGTGAGGAAGACGAGGGTGTGGATGGGCCGGTTGAAGAGTATGAGGAGGATCCCGACGGTCTCAACGATGGTTTCTTCTCACTCGACGATTTCAACAGACAAACACAATATTTCGAGGAGCAGGACGCAAAGGGAGATCCCTATACGGATCAAGCAAGCGACGATGAGGAAATTAACTGGGACGCGGATCCTCTGGCTCCTCCTACAACAGGTTCAAAGTCTAAGACGGCTGCTAAAGAGCCAGTCTCTGAAGATGAAGATGATGACGATGAGGAGGACGGCCCTACATTTGGCGACATGGCTCTCGATGCCCCAGAAGGCGACAGTGAGGATGAGGCCATGGATATGGATGAGCCTGTGGATGACGACGACAACGGTCTCAATGCCAACGATGTCTACTATAAGGACTTCTTTGCGCCTCCGCCTCGAAAGTCGAAGGGCGGTAAGCCCAAAAAGTCTGTCAAGTTCCAGCCCGAGCAGCCAAACGATGCCGACGTTGAGAGAGCCATGGCCGATGTTCGCAGAGATCTCTTTGACGACGAGTCAGAACAGGAAGACTCGGACGATGCTCTCTCCGATGTTTCCGCTGGAGATCCCAAGTCAAGACGCTCAGCTCACGAGCGGAGACAAGCCAAGCTTGCTGAAGAGATCCGCAAGCTTGAGGCTGCATCCGTTGCCAAGCGTGAGTGGACTCTCTCTGGTGAAGCTGCTGCAGTTGACCGCCCTGTAAACTCTTTACTGGAGCAGGATCTCGATTTCGAGCATGTTGGCAAGCCCGTGCCTGTCATCACTCCTGAGGTCAGTGAAAGCATTGAGGATCTCATCAAGCGTCGTATTCTCGCTCAAGAGTTCGACGAGGTTATTCGCCGACGTCCTGATACCGAGGGTGCAGCCGCAGGTACTCGTCGTGGTCTTGTCGAACTCGATGATACCAAGGCTACAAAGGGTCTGGCCGAGATCTACGAGGAAGAGCACGTCAAGAATACAAACCCAGACACTTATGTCAGCCAATCAGACGAGAAGCTTCAGCGCGAGGAGAAGGAAGTTGAGGCTATGTGGAAGGACGTCAGCGCTCGTCTGGACGCCCTCAGCTCATGGCACTACAAGCCCAAGCCCACAGCACCCTCACTATCCGTAGTCGCGGACGTTGCCACCGTCGCAATGGAGGATGCCCAGCCCACAACAGCCCAGGGCGTCACCGGTGAGAGCAGTCGCATGGCTCCTCAGGAAGTTTACAAGGCTGGAGCCACAGACAACGCAGCCAACGGCGAGGTCGTCACCAAGGCCGGTCTTCCTGTCGCCCGCCAGGAGATGTCCCGCGAGGACAAGGCCCGCCGGCGCCGTCGCGAGAAAGAGCGCGTGCGCAAGGCTGGAGGTGTCGACGGCGAGAAGGTTGTCAGCAAGAGAGCCAAGATGCAGCGCGACACCATCGCCGAGCTCAAGAAGGGAGGCGTCAAGGTCATCAACCGCAAGGGAGAAATCACCGACGTGGATGGCAAGAAGGCAAAGACTGCCAAGGTTGCTTCGAGCGGCAATTTCAAGTTGTAGTAGATGGTCAAGGGGCATTATTCCTTTTTGCAGTTTGGTTCGGGGTTTCAAAAGTAACGATGGGGTGTTTGCATGGCTTGCGAGCGATTCTTAATAAGAACGCATTTTCATGTTTGTTGCATAGGTTTCATATGTCCATACTGGATTCCTGTTTGAGTGACTTGGTTAATGCCTAAAAGATGAAGGTAGTGGTTCTCGTCTTCACTCATGAGTTATGCTCACACCTTTCCTGTTAAATCCGTACATTATGCCGAGAATCCCGCGTAATTAATCGTACATCAAAGAGCTGTAGTTTTGCATTTTGCCATATACTCAGAGTAACATTTGGCTGCTTCAAAATCCCATCCATTTCGTCCCGTTCCTTTCCTTCCGTCGCAATATGACAATGCCCTGAACTCCATCCTGTGTTATTTTTCCCGCTGAAACAATAGCCAACTAGTACCATTGACCTCGACCCTAAGCTTCCACCTTGGCCTTCTTGGTCTCGGTATCTTCAGCAGGGTCTTCTGCCTTTCGCTTGCCATTAGTCTCCGCTTCAGACACGCGTGCAGCTTCAGGCTCCTCGGCAGATTCGTCTTTGTTCTTCTTGCGGACAAGTCCACTAAGATCAGTTGCTGTCTTTTTAGCCTCATCAACACGGGCCTTGGTCTCGGCAGCAGACTCGCCAAGGGCAGCTCCAAGAATGCCACCGATGGGTCCAGCATCAGCACCCAGAATGTCCTTGGCGTCAATGGGGTCATTGCGCAGTTCGACGAGCTAGGCAGTCAGTAAACGAGATCAAAAACGTCCCAAAAGGACCAGGAGGCACAAAGACTCACTCGCTGCTCCATGTCCCCAATGACTTCCTTCATCTCCTGGATGGATTTGCGTGCTAGCTCGTTATCCTCGGGGGAGGCCATAGTGGCCAGCTCAACTTCCTTATTCTGAAGCTTGAGCTTTGAGCTCTTGATGGCGAGCTCCATTTCCTTGACGGCTTCATCTCGCAGGCCTTGGTCCATCTCCTCTCGCTTGGAATTTGCGCCATCGTCACCAGCAGTTGTCACAGAAGCAAATTCCAGCGCCAGCGAAAGCTTGAAGTGGGCTTCAGCGATGATCTCCGACTCCTCAGGGTACAGCTCCAGCTTATATTTGAGCGAGGTTCTGCCGTCTTCAATGGCATTGGGATATCTGTATGAATGTTGTGGTTAGGACAAAGCTGAAAACCCGTAGGGGCTTGCGCGTACCGTTCATTCTCGAGAGAAATCTCAGCGAGGGCATCGTGAGTGTCGGCAAGACGCTCCTTCACGTGCCGGACGGTAGGCGAATCGCCCTCTGCAGCCTCCTTGCCTTTGCCGCTGGTTTCGGATTCCTCCTGTTCGAGAAGCTCGAGTTTCTTCATGAAGCAGACTCGGGCAAGGTCGAGGATCTCAAAAGCAGTGGCCAGGTCATCATCTTCTTCCCCTTCTTCATCTTCGCCCTCGGCCTGGTACAAGTCAGTATTTGCTACTAAAATTATGGTTCAGGGAAGCTCCATACCTCTTCCTCGTCCGACTCGTCAAAGTTCTCGTCACCAGTAAACTGGAACAGGGGCTTCTTATCTCCCTTTATGTCCTCGGTCTTCTTCTCTCCCTCTTTCTGATTGGCAACAATCCCGACACCTTCTTGCGTCACCTTCTGTGCCTCAGTCTGCGCAGGCTTCTTGGACTTGCTCTCTGCGCTCTTCTTCTTCTCGGAAGCAGCAGGACCTCCTAGGACATCGCTCTTGCTTTGGCCAACTCTGAACAAGCTGCGACCATAGTGGAAAAGGATCTCGGCATTATCAGGTGACGTCTCGCCGTTGACTTCGGCTTGAAGAACACTGGCACGTGAGAAGACCTCAGCGGCCTCCTCGTAGTTCTTGTGAGCATACAGGGCAGATCCCTTTGCTGACAAGTCGGCAATGGTAACCTTCTTAGAGTTGGGATCTTGATCGTTCGCGATGAGGTAGTCGGTGTTGGGGGTGCCAACGCTGGGGGTGCCGATGAGGGGGGTGACGGTAGTGGACTCTGCTTGGTCGGCAGCTTTCTGGGCATCAGAGGGACCGAGAGTATCAACGGATGGGGTCGCAGTCTCTTCGGCTGGCTGCTCCTCGGTCGGTTTCTCAGAGGAAACTTGGGGCTCTTCGATGGCCTTGGCCGTCTCGTCCACGACAGGCGCAGTCTGCTCTGTAGCTTCAGACATTGCGAATCAGGTCTGAATGCGTGTCAAATGAGAAGATAAAGTCAATTGGGTTAAGGAAAGAATAGCGAAGGCAACTTCGAAACTTGATAGATGGCTAATGAAATTTGTGGTTGTTGGGAGATGAAATGATTGAAAGTTGGTATCTCAGGTGGAGGTTTGCGACAGTCCAAAAAAAGAGACGACCCAGCAACGGTAAAGGCGACCAGGTGATGGGCGCAATGGGTTATGGAAGGTATGACGCGCCATCGTGCTGAGGGATGGGTTTTGGCGCGTTTGATTGGCTGATTATGGCGTTGGTGGGGGCCTGGGAAACTTGGAGCTCCTGTTGTTATGAGCTGAGCTGAGCTGAGCTGAGCTCTATCGAAATTCCATCAACTGTTCTTAGTGAGAGATTATTAATGGATGGATAGGATACTCAATTCTATGCTCAAACATGAGTGACGGAAGGCCTATACCCCATCATTTGTTCCTTTGGACTTTGGGGCTCACACATACAAAGGCTAAGCCTTGGGAGAACTTCAAGCCTTCAGGCTATCACATGTTTGCCCTTCGCCTAGCATGAGTGCTCCTGTGATAGATCCTACCCTGCAGATAATCATATGAAATGCGTTGACGTAGGCACTAGTTATATTCACGGACAATCGCTTGCTAATGGGCTGTGATGATGTATAGCCTATGCGTTTTCTATGAAGTCGACTGAATGTTTACATATCTGGCGCTGTCTCTGATGGTTCTTTATATGACATGGATGTTCAAATCATCAACACACAAACCCAAAACCACATTGATGAGTTGTATGTATAGCGACCAGCAGTGCCCAAACCGGCAAGGGACTCCCCGAGTATAAGAATTTCCATGACATCCACGGGGCTATCAATAAAACATTCAGCCGCTGCGATGCAATCCATCCATCCTGAATTTACGACCAGGATTTTGTTATAGCAGAACATCATTTCATGAGACTGGTACTACCCATGTTGTTTGGCTCAACAGAACCCCAAATAATTTGCCCGTCTTACTCCGCCACTTTACAGTTGCTCAGCTCCGAGAACTCAACCCCGCGTAAAAACGAGAGTTCACTAATCGACCCGACTTGGCACGCGTTGCATCGTGGTATCTTGGCGCGAGCTGAACGCCAGGTCATGTGCCTTAGTCTCAGCCAAGGGGGTAACTATTGGCTCCAAGACAAGCCATGATCAGGCAACAACAGCCTCTGACGGAATTTCGTGAATTGATCGAAATAGCTGGGAACAAAGTAAGAAAATTGTCAAGAATGGAGGTAACCAGGAGCCCGAGGTATATATTTGAGTGCTGCGGCAATTGCTCCTTGAAAAGAAGACCATTCAACTTATACCAGAGCCGTATTCCAATCGCAATTTAAAAACAGTCACCCATAATGTGTGAAGAAAACCTCGTCCAGGTAGTATCGACGTGACCATACAACATGCCAAGCTAACCTCAATCAAGGAAGCACTCGGCCAAATTTGCTGGCTCGAGGTTCCAGTGCGTGATGTTCCTCGGGCCAAAGCCTTCTACATGGAACTCTTTGGCTGGGAGTTTGTACCAGAGCCTCAGAAGGCCGTCGGCGACTGCGTCAAGAGTATGCACTTCTTCAACAAGGGTAAGACCCTCCACGGGGCATTTCTGGAACATGACGAGGAATATCATGTCATCAACAACAATCCCGACAAACCAGGTGCTCTGCCCGTCCTGCCAACTCTATGCGTACTGGATTGCGAAGAGACCCTGGCCAAGGCAAATGCGATTGGTGGTAAGACTGCCGTGTAAGTGCGCCCGCTCCATCACGAGGTGGAAAGCTTGAAGCGAGTTGAGCATCCATATTAACCGTCGTCAAGTCCAAAGACGGCCATTGGAGGAGGGATGGGGTATTTTGCTCGGGTGATTGATACCGAAGGTAACATGATCGGTCTCTGGTCTCAGAAATGACAAGTGAGCGTGGGAAGATAAGGTTGACATTTGTCACTCAGTACCTAGGTAGCTTATCTCAGCCAAGATATGATGCCATACTGCTCAAGTTGCTTCTGATAATGTATGTAATTCTCAAAATTTACCCCAAATCCATGATCGCGATTCAGAATATTATCCAAAATATCCGAACGGTGGAAAATATTAGAGAAAAACGTAAACTCGCCCGGCAAAACTTGTGCTGACCAACCCGCTGTTAGACAAAGCTTGACGCCAAGCAGAGCCAAGTCTTGTTTGTCACTGCTATATGAATTATTGGACGAAACCAACTGACATGAGCTCGCATGAGTCGTATCAGACGCCAATTAACAAGCTTGGTCGTGAAAAAATTGACATGCAGAGAACTTAAGAAGCGAGCTCTGGAGCCTGTGGTGATTCCTCGCCAAGATGTGTAGAATTTGGCCCTGTCTCATTCGTGGACTAACTGGCTCGATAAGCCGTTTGTAAGGGACCATGCTTCAGCCTGGGCCGATTATATGGGGTTGGAGACGTCAGGAATTTGACGAAACACGACGGGGTAAGGATTTCACGTCAAGTAATGTATCTGTAACAGACGCGCCCCCGGAAACTTAGAGTTCCGATACTGAGATCGTTATAGCTGGAGAAGAAAGTCTTATGTATCAGAGTCTGAGTATCGAACCAATGTTTTGTCACAGAACAGCCGAGAAACATATACGATACGACGCTGAAATACCGTTCAACGGCATATCAAGATTGACTTTTTAAAGGCGACCTAGTGGCTGTTGGTGATATGTACTATAGACGGAAAACCGCTTCTGTGCATATCCGGCACATTGACCAGATTGGGAAGAATCTATCTACTTGGAGCATGTCCAAGCGACATTTGGGAAATACGACCGCAGAATGAACGACAGACTGCCAACTCCCGTGACGACGACGTAGTATTAAGTCCTGCGGAGATTGCTTATGAGAAGAATACGTAACGTCCTTCGAGCCTCTGTAACTTTTCCGTTCGTGTTCCGTTCCGTGAAGCTTTGCCGCGACTTAGACGAGAGACATGGGATCTCCACTGAACAAGATAGCCGTTACCCACTGAAGACTAACGCAGCGTAGCACCGGAGAGAACGGCGAGACGATATCCGTCCATCTGATGCGTACTTGTCCAATGATTACCACCGAAACATATTCTGTAGCGAAACGAAGATCCCGTGTAGTAAGATAATATCACGCCAGTGTTAAGAAACAAAGTGGGCGGTGCTGGGATTGGATATTAGGTTAATGCTCGCCCTGAGGCCATACATATGTAGCGACAATGTGTAGGCATGGGCATAACTAGTCATAGGCCCCTGAGATAATAAACGTTGCGCCGAGTGCAACCTGTCCATTTGGCTGTGGTCAATGGATGGCATTATCATGCTGATGGTATCGCATGGGGCTTTGAAACATAGAACAAGAGCCAGGGCAAGGAGTGAAGTGGGAGCCATTCGAAACAAACGCGGACCGACACCTTAACCAGAGGAATGTGCGGAGACTTGCCACATCTGATTGGAGGATAATTCTAGTCCAGAAAACTCCATCAATCAGAGGCTATGGAGAATTATAAGTCCAAAAGCTTCGACCCTTGGGGACAGGCTCCACCCCCATTGAACTACATCTCTTTGTGGCGCTTTTTCTTATTCCTTTGAGGAATTTTGCTGTAAAGTATCAAAGTATCGTCAGAAAAGACGAGATGCCGTTCATGGACCTGGAACCCCCAAATAATCCGTCCACTGCAAATGCATTTTCTCTCTCTAGTGTTGGTCCCCGTGGGCCAAGGGTCGGCCGCTAGTGAGGTCAGAATTCCATGGCATATCATGCTGCTATATTGCATGGCATCAGGAAGATTGCGAGTGACGATCTGGTAAGGGAAGAGTTTCTAGTTATGGTTTGATCGGGAAATAGATGTGTTGACCGAAACAGCTAATTACGTTGGGTCAACCCCAAATCCAACCCCCACGACGGATATATTGGAACCATAGTTGATCATCCTGGCATTAGTTACGATGAGCATACGGATAATATCATAACATATAGCATTATTATGAGAAACAATCTCAGAGTGTCCTCTCCATACCATCCATCCATAGCGATATCGCAGACGACATGACTACCTGTAGTACCTATCCAAATAGATAAGATATATGTATTATGCAGCCTCAGATAGACTTTCTACTCCATGTCCCAACACAACGGTTGACAAGCTCAAGACGGGCGTCTCCTCGGTCGCCTGGTGGTGGAAAATATCGCCTCGCCCACGCCGCTTGACTTGATTGTCTCCCTTCCACCAACGATAACGGTCTAATCCTGGTTCATAACCAGTCTTCGGCACCGACGCCTTTCTTCAGTATCCATTGCTCATCTCCATCCCGTCTTCTCTGTCTCCATCTTCCCAAGCCTCCTTCGCTTCGTCTCCAGTTCTCTGAAGGTATCCACTGAGGACAATCCACTGCCCTTGTCCGTCAGCTCCATCAGGTATCGTCAGGGATCCAGTCCCGCCTATGTACGTCCCTTGTTTCGCTTCGACCATCTGAGTCGGCTCAAACACCATCCCATCGGTCAAATATTCATCGCTTGGCACTTGTTAGCGACTGTACATACATACTCTGGGTCTTGGCCTGGTCTTAGTCTTTGCATCACTTCCCTCATCAACCTTCATCCGTCCCATCATGCTATTACTGCCTCGCCTGCACTGCGCCTTATAGCCCCAGGACATATAATTCTTGCTCTGATTAGTCGCCTTCATTCATAGGTGAGCGAGTACCCCCCCCGAAAACTCAAAACAGTCCTACCATCCTTTCTACCTTCCTCTTTCTCTTCTCTCATCAAACCTCAAACTTTACCCCATACTCGGGAAATCATCCCCACAACAAAGGGTCCGCACTCACTTCTTTACCCTCTACAACTACCATTGTCGACCATCATAGAGATCCAACTTGTTGCGACTCAATTCTAATAATCCATATAGAATTTCCTGCTACTTTCTCTGAACAGACCTGGAATTGGAGCTACAACAGCAACTCAAAGCACGAACCGCCGCCATTCTACCATTTAATACCAAAATCCTCATCGCGACAACGTCGAACGTTGCGCCGTATACGAGAAACCCACCGAGAATCGATAACGAACTTGACCAAGTCCCGAAAATCAATCATCGAACCTCCTATCAAGAGAAACATCTTCCAGCGCATTCAAGGCACCTGCTTGGGACGGCAGTGCATTCAGTGTAGACAAGGACACTGCGAATAGCTTCAGCGCAAAGCCGTAATAACGACGGAGCTCGAGTTGGAACGTTTCTGCCGCACCGAAAAAAGAAACCATACAAAATGGCCGCCGTTCAATCGATATTAGCGGAAACCCTTCCCGGACCGACGCCCTCAATTGCCTTGAATGGCGCCACCGAACCGACCACTATGCACATCGACCGGCCGAGTTCGAGTCCAGTAATGGTCAACGAGAGCACGTTCGGAAGCACACCAGCAAAAGGAGACTCTAGAATCGTCGTCATTGTGTATGGACCAGGCCAAGAACACATCGTCTCGGTCTTCGCAGAGGTGCTGGGCACGCCATGCAGGACACGGAATGGGTTCGAGGAGGTTTCGTCTGAGGATTCTGGTTTCGTTGTAGGAGTCGCAGCAAACGAAGCGAAAGGAGACGTTGCTGCGCGCAATCGTAATCTCGTTGTTGCAATAAATACTCACTGTGTGAATCTAGGGATGCCTCCCGACACCCAACTTTCCACCCATTGCGACTACGAATTCCTCTATACCGAATCCCCGTTCTTCCGTCGCGACCTGGCTAGATTTATCTCATTTACTTTGGGTCAGATCAACTACCACGAAGCTCTCATGGCAAAGCCAAGAACCTATTTCATCTCCACCACCTTCCCGGATGTCCACGCCGCTCTGCCTAATATCGATATCCTAACTGTTGGCGCTGATGCGGTTGAGATCAGAGTTGATTTACTTAGAGAACCCCTTGGCGATGGCAGCTATTCGGAAGTTCCCAGTCTCAGCTATGTTGGAGAACAGGTCATGCTCCTCCGCCAGCGGACAGAGCTTCCCATTATCTTCACGACACGGTGTGTAAGAGAGAATGGAAGGTTCCCCATGGACAAACCCGAACTGTACTACGAATACCTCTACCGCGCGATTCAATGGGGTGTAGAATACATCGACGTAGAACTTTGGCTTCCAGAAGAGATCCGCAAGAAGCTCCATGAGCAGCGGGGAAACTCGCGCATCATGTCGGCGTTCCACGACTTTTCAGGCAATTTCAGATGGCCGTCGGCGTATGCTCAGGAGGTATTCCAAAGATCTATACCCTACGCGGATATCATCAAAATGATTGCTATAATCAACGAACACAACGAGAACTTTGAGCTAGAGTATTTCCGTTCCAAGATGCGTGCCGAGTACCCCAATGCGCCACCATTCTCCGCCGTCAACATGGGCGAAGTCGGCCAGTTCTCAAGGACTCTGAACCCTGTCTTCACACCTATTACCCACCCACTTCTTCCTCTCATCGCTGCTCCTGGGCAATTGAGCGCTGCCGAGATCAATGCTGCTTTATCACTTCTGGGTCAGCTTCCAAGAAAGCGCATCTATGGCATCAACAGCTCGTCGTCTCGAAACGCCACGCCGCAGGCTCCCTTCTATGAAAAGTGTATAAACGAACTGGGTCTTCCGCATCAATTTGCAGTTGTGGAGAGACATCCAAACAACCCAAGGAGTTTAGAGACATGGTGCAATCAGAAACATTTCGGAGGCGCCTATCTCAACCCGGGTCTACCACATAATGCATTGACAAAGATTAGCCCCTTCTTTGCTGGGTTGAACGGTGGCAATGGGCCAATCTTGACGGAGGCGGCTCGTGTTATTGGAGTTGTAGACACCATCGTGGTCCAGTCAGGTACCTCGTCCAGATCGTCATCTCCGGGCTCAATGCCATCAAGTCCACGACAACGGCAGAGTGACTCGGTTGATCTCGGCAGTCAGTCTGGTCTAGGCTCGTCGACCTCCCTTGTATTCGACAATGCTGGATGGAAGGGTATTCTCAGCACACTTACAAGAGACCTGGCGCCATCTGCGTACTTCGGCCGCTCGGCTGTTGTCATGGCATCTTCTTCAGATGATGCAGCTCCTGTCTTCTTTGCCATGAGAGCTCTCAAGATCTCCAAGATCTATACTGTTGGCTTCCGTACACCTAGCAATCTTGCTCGAAATGCGCCTCCCATCGAACCGTTTATCAGCCTCGAAAGTCTGCAACGTGCCCGCTCAGTAGAAGACGACAGTGCGCCTTTTGTCATCGTGTCAGCTCTTGGTTCGGAAAAGAGTCATCTGGTTGGTATGTTGTTACGAGCCTTTGGAGGAGTCGGACCCAAGGGAACAACGAACACGAAGAAGGTGTTTCTTGACCTGGCAGACGGAGCTGTCAGGAAGAGTTCTGACCCAGGGCTCATCGCTGAGAAGAACGGATTTGCTGCCTATGGAGCGGACGATGTCGCAGCATTCACAACGGTCGAAAGCCTGAGGTTACTCGTGGGACAAAATGTGCCCTATAGCTTCGTTAGACTGGCAAGCGGAAGCCATCGCTACGGCGTTTGAAAGGAGTCGCGCAAGATTTGCGAAAAAGATCACGTCAATCACCGACGACGCCTGTTCGCCAGAAAGGAGAACAGTGACGATACCTGCTTGGCTCATCTGCTATCGGGGTCAATCGACTCTGGGGCATTGGCGACAGAATAGGATGGATGTCCGAAGCGCCCCAGGCTAGGCGCTTGAAGCCAAAAGATATCCACGAGGCTTCCGCTACAAAAGGCCAAGCCGGGTAACAAACAAGGAACTGTCCCCGTTATATGCGCGCCAAAGGTTCCTGACGCCAAGCGCCGACTGCCATCGAGACCGTCTGGGAACTCTCTTTTGACTGTCTGCCAGCGAAGAGAGTCTTCGCCACATTAGACTTATCGCGGTCTGGCTTCCGGTCATAGGGGTGTTCGAGATGAGCCGCTCTAGGCGGCTGTCGTGGGTGAGGGAAAGTCGCAGAGTTGCATCTTGGACGGATGCCGATCTGGTGTGCAGACGACCCCTGCTAAACATGTACAGGGGGCCCTATAGAGTGGGCTCTTATTGCAACGGCGGCGGCGTGAACCGTTACCACCAATTCTAGGTCCGCCGACCTCCACAGATATGAGCGCGGAGGTTCAACTTTTTTCGTTATGAACCTTCCCGATCTGTTACATATTTTTTTTAACTATGGGCTATAACCATCTAAGTATAGACCTGCCCATGCAAGATTGGCTACGATATGAGGATACAAGATGTATACGAGAACCAGTGGGTTGGAAATCACCTATATGTCAGTCAAATATTACATAGACGCTTCTGGCAAATATCACCGAAGCCCAAGATGATGACGAGATTTGAAAACAGTTTGCTCCACTATTTGATGTTATTTTCTTTTTGTGTACTCATTCAAAGTTTTGGAAAGTCTGAGGATCCTCGTCACCCTGCTGACCATCTCCTTGGCAGGTTGTGCCCATCTGAGAACGAGGCCATTATCTGGTTCGATTAAGACTCACTGATGTTTTGCATACGGACCACCATCATTTCTCATAAACTTTTAGCTGCAAGACTTGTCCTGTAGCGTAGCTCCGCAAGGTTTCCGGGAGCCCTTGCCAAATGCCTCATCTGTCATTTGCAGGCATCTGCCCAGGCTTCGAGTGAGACGGGTTTAGACGCTGTGTGAGATTCAGGGCGCTTGATTGGGGTTTCTTTACCCTGGTCCATGTCGGTGGCTATTTGCCTCATTGCGAGTGTCGGTACTCCGTATCTGTATCTGTATCTGTATCTATACCAGAGGGTCCATAGAATTTTCTATGTTTGGTTCTATTCAAGATATTGGCGGTAAAGGCCCAGTTGAAGAGGGAGAGAGAGAGAAAGATCATGCTGTAGCCGAGTTTAGGATTGCCCATATGAGACAAGGCATGATGAGATAAGAGGAGCCATCCTGGGCTCATTATATCGTCTCATACTCGAGATAAGGAGGAAGTTTCTCGATGAACTGAGTTCAGATAATACGCACATTTTATCCGGCAGTTCTATTCTGTATGAACCTTGGCTTGATTTTCCTTGATGAATGGAAACCAATACGTCACAAATGTTAATACCGACCGGCAAGCGCATAATCTGTAGGACGTATATTGTTGGATGAACACCTGAACAAAACAAGTAAGAAGTCAAGAGCCGCCTCGTTGCGGGGAGACGGATCTTGTGTCCCTTGATGAACGATCTGGGACACGTATACATTAAATCGGAGAAGACTTTGGCATGATCCTTTCCTAAGGCAAGAAATAGGGGGCGTGAACAAAGGTGAAAGGGATGTTGTATGTACTGTGTGTATATCTATGCATACTGGAGACGAGACGAGACGAGATGAGATGAGATGAACGAAACAACACCATGTTGTTCTCCCTAAGGCCCAGTAAGTTCAGATGATGAGAGGACCTTTGCAGATGCCCTGACAAGGTAAAAACAAGTACGTAGCGTCACTTCACGCGTGGCCAGCACTGGTTTGTTTGCCACGGACAGCCTGACCCCTGGTTTGAGCCAAGCTGCAGCCATCTTTGAATATGGAAACATGCTAACGCTGCAGTGAGAGGCATCTAGACTGCAAACCCACACACATGGGGCTTGCAGAGAGACAAACCCCGCCATGAGGCTCGCGACACGCCTCGGTAGAAAATCAAGATTGAAGTGTATCAGATTGAGTCTAGTTAGGCTTCGAGGCCCGTCTTCCCAGATGATCTGAACGGAAACCGGTGACTGGATTAACAATGTAAGTCATGATCACATCAAGGCCATTCCAGGGGCGGGTGGGGATGTGATAGAGATGATGCAGTGCATACAAGTATGTATGGAATGACAATCTCAAGCGCCCATGAACAAAATGCCTCTGATGAACATGGCCGTAGCTGCTGATTCCCTGGCGAGCGATACGTCGGTATATTCCCTTTGAACCTTTATAAAAATCTGGCGACAAATCACCACGACCAAGGCTCAAGCCATTCAGAGCCAGCAACAAGTCCTAGAAATCTTGTGATAGTTAGTCTTCCACAACATGGAATTGATTGATTGATATACATACAAAATGGTTAGCTGATCTTAGCTCGAGTACTTAGTCGTGTATGGACATCATGTTAACGAGTGAGCGAGTATACCTCGAATGCTATGGTAGCTGACTCACTGATACGTGTGGAGGTCCGATGCCTGACGACGGCTGCCCGTATCGCCTATTCAACATGATACGCTATTCTCTGGAGTTCGAGTTGTAGAACACAATGATTACAGTTCTAACCGCCATGCTCAATAATCCTGACAACGGCAGCTGAATTCTGAATCCAAGCGAACTGGAGAACCTCCACCTCTAGGTGGAGAATGAAACCACTGCGAGTTTGCATCCTATCTGTTTGTCCTGGACCTAGCTGTCATTGAGCGCGCGGAATTGGGCAAGAAGTGCAAGTGCTGATCATGAGCTAGAACCTAAGAGCTGCAGTGTCGAGACAACTACTGAGCAGCTGAGAGCGCCCAAGTCGACTTCGCAGAATGTAGGGTGAATATAAAATGCACTGATCAGTTGTACTCCACAACTATTCGCTGTATCCAAGCTCAATATTGTGACCCATCTCATGTTGCCGATAGCAGCGTATTCTTGTGAGCCAAGATCTTGGACAGCTTTTGAATGAGTTGCCGCAACGCACATGTAGGTCCCAAGAACGATGTTGATTACAGACGTTTATTATTGACTGGAGATAATTTGGTGCCTTGTAACAGGTATGTGGATATGGATATAGCCTTTCGTGATATGCAAGTGCTCCTGGCTGTTCGGCGCTCTCTGCGTTGCCCACTCTCACCTCTATTCCGGCAGAAGACACTGCACTAGTGCAGAGTCCATAGTTGAGGATGTAGCTGTCCAGATACCCACAGGAGGGAGATTCACCGAGTTTGGCAGAGTATATGTTTTCGTGTAAGGCCTAGCAGAAACCCAGCAATCCACCAAGATGTGGTAAAGTTCACGTCATTTGTTTGTGAAAGTGAAGACGATGATCTCAAACAAGCCACATCCAAATACGGGACTGGTTTCATATTTAGGTGAGCCACTCAGGCTGGCTATTCGTATGCTAATTAGCTCAGCAAGGACAAGTTCGAAAGGCTTAGGACTTGGGAGTGTGAGAATGGTTCGATACTTAGCCAATCTCTACTCCGTATACCGGGTACGAATCGAGCACCTGGGGTAAAGTGGATGTACCCGGTAGAGACAGGAAAGGGCAGGGAGGACCGGCATTGATAGGCTTGCACACTGCCCTTCTAGAAAACCACCGTGCCAAGCTCTGGTCTGACAGCCGTGGAGACTTCGCAAGCCGGGAACCTGTTGGGTTTAGCCTATTTATCAAGCTTCAATGCGCTCGGCATTGACTATACCACACTTTCAAGCACTGGCCAGTCTTTAGTGTGAACATTGATGATTACCACTGCGTCACAATAGCAGAGTTCGAGAGGTTTGGACAGGGTACCGAGGCGAGGTCTGGTGCGGCAGAGGCAAAGCCACCTAAACGTGGATTGACAAGGATACTGAGAAACCCATGCACAAACCCAGGGTTTCAAGCGGCCTCAAGGTCCAAATCGGGGGACAGAGCCGACGTACCATGAGAAGTGCGAAAAGCACGCACCACTCACGGATACTTGCCAGGCCTGCCAGGCTGCCAGGATGTTAGCCTCATGCCTATGGCCTATGAAGCGGAAAGAAGAGACCACAACTAAGAAGTAGGAGGCAAGATCTAGTCCTCCCCAATCTTTCAGCCCTGATCAACAAGACATGGAGAATGATGAAGCGCCAGTTCTTTATATAAGCCTTGTGGCTGCAGAAGATGCTGGTGTATCCCCCACATATGCAGGTCCGATGCGCCCATGTCTTGTTTGCTTTTTCGAAGATATAGTTGTGAGCTCCTATAACAGGGCCAGTACAGTATCGATCCTAAATCATGCGACTTAACTTAGTTGATAGTCAGCCCTGCTGATCAGTTTCAAGGGTGCTCCGAGAATGAGAGAAAAAAACCGAAGAGTTCAGCTAGATCGAAATGCTAGGAGGGTGTTGCCGATAGCTCCTTGCGGCTCCGTTGAACCTGCTGCGTACCAGGGGACATCTCGGCCGGAGTGGAGTGTTGTTCGAGTGTTCACGTCATGTTGGGAGAATGAACATCCATCCTGTATAATCAGTGCCGTAGAGCCCCTGAGAGACAGGAATGATGACTGGGCGTTTATGGAAATGACCTTGATAAACAACAATAGCAGCCGCTGGATAGAGCGTGGCGCTTAGGAAGTCTTATTAATTCTTATTGCTCCCGCTAGTCTCTCGGCCGACTCTTGAAAGCCTAGATCATGCAGCTCCGAACTGTGGACACTAGTTCTTATGGATAACTTCCGCTTGGTAATAATAGGTCGAGCCAGGAGCAACTACAAGGGGGACGAAAGAACTTCTCCGGAGATATCCACACGTCCCGGGGTTGCTGTTGCTATGCGCCGTGGCCAGGGGAGGAAGGAAGATCATTTTGGAGATTCGAAATGGCCGTGTGAGGATACGATGTATGCCGCCTGTCACTGAGGTGAGAGAGGAGGCCCAGAAGATGAAATAAGTCTGGACTAAGAGGATCAAGGTAGCAACCCGTACGGGAACGACGCACTGCGACTTAGGAGAGCCCGATATTGATAAGAATACCCAGGCTCCAGGCACCTAGCCAGGATCCTGTCCCTAATCGATGGAACCAACCAACAGCCATCGGTTAGAAGTTGGGATGATACATAACTGGGATGTCAACGAGCGGTCTGTAAGTTCTTCGCGGAAACGATAGAGAAGCCTGATGCTAATCTCAGCTGTTTGATAGTTTTGGTCATGTTTTCTACCAAGTTAGAGAAGCGAGGCCAAATCCGGTGAACCTATTCTTGTCTGGGTTGTTTATGCGGAGCCTTCAGGCTTCAGTTGCGTCTTCGAAACACTGTATGCAGGTGCATGTATGCGATAAAACGTGACGCCATTGGATGGATGTCGTGCGATGGTTGCTCAGGACGTCGACCACGACAACAAAAGCTTCCATGTTTGTGACAGAAACTCCTAGATCCTCGCTCTAGAGTTTCAGGCTCACCAAAAAGCACAAGCAGCTACTAACCTATCGCAACTGCCCTGGTTGTCGTCCGTTCCATTCGGTCCCCGCCCGCCCCTAGTTTCCATTGTCAAGACAGGGTCCTTACAGCCCCAGTCAAGCCCCAAACAACGCTGTTCCCGCTATGCTTAAGCGAAGCGTCCGCTAATTCAGGCACCTTACGGGAGTCTCTAGGTAGTGCCTGATTTTACCTCCACTTCTGTTCATTCATCGCTGCCGCTGTCAGAGAAAGTCTGACAGACAGGAGCCATGTGTGACCGAAAGCACGCTGTGCAAATAGAAGGAAGCATGGACAGCGCCACCAAATGACAGGCAGGAGCCAAGAGCTTGGACCATCTTCACCTCTTTCTTGCTAGACAGCTCACCAACCTAGCCCACATTAGAACACACCCGAAGCCTTCTGGATCCAACCCATATCGTATCGTAAGTCTCGCTTCTCGCCTTACTCGCCTCGTCTGAAAGGCTACTTTGAG